ATAAAAAAAATATATATATATATATATATATATATATATATATATAATTAATATGTATCTTTACAACTACCTCAAACAAGAAAGACTATAAATAAATATATTTAAGTTAATTTTAATATTCCTTAAATACCTATAGACATTGAAAAAGAAAAGGAATCCCAGTGTGTCTTTTGAGTCTAAGAGAATTTTCTCTAGAATTGCTAACTTGCTAAGTGTAACCTACCAAGGCAGAAGCCTTCCAAGTATGGTGTTGCATTAACTGTTCTCTTTACTGTGTGTTTCCTTCCTGCACTTTGACCTGCTTTTCTTTTCTTCTATTTAAAGGGAACTACTGTATGCACAGCCAGCTGCCTTCAACTTCATAAGCGAGCAGAGAGGATTGCATCAGTTCTTGGCGACAAGGGGCATCTAAATGCAGGAGATAATGTGGTGTTGCTTTATCCACCTGGTAAGTGTGGGATTTAAATTCCGTTACTAGACTGACTACAAATACTAAGAGGACAGGAACTCAGGGCTGCCATCTGTGACCTTATAGGCTGTGACCTTGCCACATCAAGAGCACCATGCATGGAGGCTAAGGTGGAAACAGCCTCACCCCGAGTTTGGTGGGACGATGCCTCTGCTGGGACCATGTCTGTTTACTTACTCTTACATTTCCAGAATTGGCACTTGGCACGTACAAGGCACTCAGTAAATATTAAATAAATGAATGAGTAGAGACTTCAGACTACTAGACTTTTAGAAACCCTCAAAGCAGATTTTTTTTCCTAAGAACGTTCAGGAATGGGACCATTTCACTGTTTCCACAAGAATGTTGTGCATGAACTCTATTGACATAGCATTTTTCATATTGTGATCAGTGTTTGGTATTCCTCTCTTATTGCTACTCTCATCTTTAATTCAACAAATTTCATAGTAATACGGACTCAGATTTATTTGGTGACAGTTTGGCATAAAGATTCAGAATTTTAGGTAAAGTATTGCAGTTGTCTCTTCCTTTATTCAAAATCTTCTTCCACCTGAAGCACTTGTACATCCAGCCTCCTTTCGTCTTTCATCCCTCTACTGCATCTTATTCTGTGTTTCTTGCTGTGCTGTTGTATTTACATGGATGCTAAGATGTCCTGGACAGTCACCTGGTGTAGGAATCCCTCCCACCATGTTCCCATGAGATTGTCTCATATCTGTCAGTTACTGATGTGCTGATGGACCAAAGCCCTTCCTGAGGGGACCTCTCTGCCCAGAGTAGTCTTCATGTTGAATCACACTTTGTCTCCCTGAGACTCACACCCATTGATAGAACAACAGCTAAAAAGTCTAACTGCTCTTCCTATGGCAGGCTTCTAAATATATGAAGAAGCCTCAGGTGTTCCTCTTCTCTCCCTTCTCCATTATTTTATTTTTCTTTCTTTCTTTTTTTTTTTTTTTTTTTTAGTTGGAGTCTCATTCTGTGACCCAGGCTGGAGGGCAATGGCACGCTCCCAGCCACTGCAGCCTCAACCTGCTAGGCTCAGGTGATCCTTCCACCTCAGCCTTCCAAGTAGCTGGAACTACAGGCACGCACTGCCTCGCCCTGCTAATTTGTGTGTGTGTGTGTGTAGATGAGGTCTCACCAAGTTGCCCAGGCTGGTCTTGAACCTGCGGGCTCAGGCAGTCCTCTCTCCTCAGTACTGGGATTATAGGAAAAAAATAGGAGCCACCGCACCCGGCCTATTTTATTTTTCTAATTAAACATCCTGAATTTCTGCAGTTATTTCTCCTAAGTAATATCAAGTAATAATATCAAAACACCTTCTTCAAGTCTCTCTTAAGAGTTTACTTCTCATTTTCCTTCCTTGTTATTTATTCTTGGTTTCTCTGTGTTTTTTTAAGTTGTTTTATATTCTTCCTTCTTCACTTTCAATTCCTTCTCAATTTTTAAAATTTCTTCTGCTAGTGTCTCTGTTAAATTATGGTGTAAATAACCCACCTGGCACGGGATTTAATAAGCTGGTTTTGGAAGATCTGCCTTTTAGTTTCTCAGCTCAGTGACTCTTCTGACAGGGTCCTCTGTCTTGCAGGCATCGAGTTAATTGCTGCCTTCTATGGCTGCCTCTATGCCGGGTGTATACCTGTGACTGTCCGACCTCCTCACGCTCAGAACCTTACTGCCACATTGCCCACTGTCCGCATGATCGTTGATGTAAGTACCAACTATATCTTGCCTTGTCCTCATTTCGTAAAATTAGGTTCAGACAACTATGAATTCATACTAATTTTCCAGTTTTGTTGAGTCAGGCATTTACATTTGGCTTCTGAAAACTACCACCTTTTAGTTAAGCAGGCCCAAGTGACCATCATTATTCAGTGAAAGAACTGAGAGAAAGTGGTTATGAGTGAGATACAGAATTCTGTACATTTATTATGAGCATTAAGGAGGCAAAGCAATCGTTAGTAATTGTCCATAAAACTTATTTTTACCCCTTCTTAAAGCATGCTGTTGACCGGGCTTGGTGACTCACACTTGTAATCCCAGCACTTTGGGAGGCCAAGGCAGGAGGGTTGCTTAAGTCCAGGAGTTTAAGACCAGCCTGGGTAATAGAGCAAGACCCCATCTCTAAAAACAGAAATAAAAACAAGTAAAAAAAATTTTTAAGTGCTGTCTGTTTGATATTTTTCTGTGCAGTAACCAAGGTGATTTTATATGTGAAACTCTGAATTCTTCCCAGTGTCAGGTCACTTTTATTTTAGTTAATTTTGTAAATTGACCTGGTATAACATTAAAAGGTGTCCAAACCTTGTTCTGGAGGTGATCGAAGTTTTTACAGGGTATGAGAATTCAAGAAAATGAGATGTGTGTATTGCATCATATCCTTTAAAGTGAAGGGCAGCCTTGGCCAGCGTACCGGTAGATTAGAATTCCACTTCGTGTAGCATTTGCTTCTCTGAGAACTGCTGCTCCGTCAGCAACTTGAGCCCACAGCATAAAAGCCATGTTCACCAGAGATGATTTTATTACAAAGTTTAATTCAGCAAAATGCCCTTGTTTTATTCTACACAGTGGGCCAGAAAAGCAGGGTGGGGGGTGCTGACGCAGTTTGTGGGTCGAGTAGGTCACTCTGCATGTCCATGTGTCACAGGGCAGGAGAACTCAGCATGTGTGAGAGCGCACGTCTGTGTCCCAGGCCTGGCGTTCAGCACATGTTCTGGGTCTAGCAAGGCTCAGCATCCACCAGACTGTCGCAAGCACTAACTCCTTCATCTGATCCACTCACTCCCTGAGCACTTCAGAATCCATGTCTTGATTTTATTGTGGTCTTCACAAAATCATGAGATTGTGGGATCCAGACTGCAATTACATCTGTGAACCACCTGAGAATCATTGTTGTAAACAATAACTTGTGTGTGAACAAGCCTGTCAGCCTGAGCGAACTAAGTGTTATGCATTTGCAGAAGGACAAATGCAAGGTGGAAACCCCGACCTCCTTTGTCCTTCGTATTCTTTCAACAGCGGCTGCTACCAGCAGCCAAGCCAGTGACACTATGTTGGGGCTAATCTTATTGCTGTCCGTTTGTTTTCTAGGTCAGCAAAGCAGCCTGTATTCTCACCACCCAGACCCTAATGAGGCTACTAAAATCCCGAGAGGCTGCAGCAGCAGTGGATGTGAAAACCTGGCCAACTATCATTGATACAGGTGAAAGGGAGCTTTCTCCCGTGCTGCAGAGAGAGCGAGAACATGCGGCACCTGAGATTTCCTCATGTGAGGACCTCACCGCTGAGAGGTCCTTAGGCCAGACAGCTTATCCCACTTTTATATCACAGCGCGTTCCACCTGCACAGACAAACCCAGCACCAGCCAGCCTATGCTACCACAGGACTGGATGCTGTGACAGCCAGGTGCAAGAAGCCAGAGCTAAAGGGCTTTAGACAGAAAGCGGCTTGCTGTTACTCTTGGCATCAGTAACAGGTGGTTAGGTGTTTTTGCCAGATGGGATCATGTACATGTAGGGCCAAATAAAATATTGAGACAGTGTGATCCTTCAGTTCTAGATGTGATGTTGAAACATCAGACTAGTAGCCAGAAGCCATGGGTTCTAGTTCACGCTTCATTACTTAGTGCCCACGTGACCTTGACTGAGATGACCCCTTCCTAAGATACTGCCTACCCCTACCTGACATACATATTTATTGACCAGAGAAAATGCCATTTAATACAAAAATGCTGTACTTTGAAAACCATGAAGTGTGTGAATTTCAGCTGTATTCACCTTAAAGAAGGGGGCAAGGCTCGAGCCTGGAGCACCTGTGGTGTGGGGAGGAGTGTGGGTCTTGGAGTCAGGCAGGGGGAGTTGAAATACTGATAAACCTGCTACTCTCTGAGAAGTCTTACTAACTAGGCAGAACTGGCTGTGAAACGAGGCTTGGAAGGATTACATGATGACTATAAAACACCCAGCATGGGCCGGGCTCAGTGGCTCAGCCTGTAACCCCAGCACTTTGGGAAGCCGAGGTGAGTGGATTGCCTGAGCCCGCGGGTTCAAGACCCGCCTGGGGAACTTGGCAAGACCTCATCTTTACAATAAATCAAAAATTAGCCAGGCGTGGTAGCACGCGCCTGTAGTTCCGGCTGCTTGGAAGGCTGAGGCGGAAGGATCGCCGGAGCCCAGCAGGTCGAGGCTGCGGTGGCCGGGAATGGCCACTGCACTCCAGTCTGGGCGACAGAGTGAGACTCCAACTCGAAAAAAAAAAAATACCTAGCATGGAACCATAACGATAACGTCTACCTCTGAGACCTTCTGATGTCTCAGTCACTTAATGTGTTACCAGATTTTATCCGTACAACAACCCTATTAGTTGCTGTTTCTATCCTCATTTTGCAGATTAGAAAACTGAGGCACAAGGAAGTTAAGTAAGCAGCAGAACTTAAGTAAGCAGCAGAACTGCAATTCCAATCTAGCCAGTTTGGCTCCCCTTCCAGCTTTTTGACCAATAATTTTTCCCTACCCCTTTTTCACTGAGTACCATAGAGTGTCCACCTCACCAACATTTTTATGGGTCTAAATGCAGGGATGATATGTGTTTGTGGTTACTGTGTGCCAGATACTCAACTAGGTTTTTTGTATTTGTTACTTAAGGACAGAAGCACAGTCATGTGTAATATATAACATAAGTGGGTTGTGTTGGTGTTAACGATGCCAATAGATCAAGGGTGGTTCACGGCTCAGTCCCACTTCAGTATGCCCTGAAATGTGACCTGTGACACCAACAACAGAAAGATTTATTCAAGCACATGCATGGTCATAAGAGTGGCCATACTCTACACAAAGAGAGGTCAAAGGTGATAGAGAAGGTCTTTGATTTGACCAGAAATGGGTGCTCAATGACATGGAGTTTTTTTTGTTTTTGTGTTTTGTTTTTCTGAGTCAGAATCTCACTCTGTCGCCCAGGCTGGAGTGCAGTGGCACGCTCATGGCCACCGCAGCCTCAACCTGTTGGATTCAGTCGATGCTTTCTCCTCAGCCTTCCAAGTAACTGGAACTATAGGCATGTGCCATCATGCCCAGCTAATTTTTATTGATTTGTTGTAGAGATGAGGGCTCGCTAAGTTGCCTAGTCTGGTCTGGAACCCGTGGGCTCAGGCAATCCTCTCGCCGCACTCTCCCAAAGTGCTGACATTATAGGCCCAAGCCACTGCACCCAGCCTGACATGGAGATTTAAAACTCAGAATTGTTTCATGATCCAGAAAACAAAGGAGCCATTGAAGAGGCTTGGCTGGGGCCAGAGACATCCTTGGTTTTGACATAGTGGTATAGCAAATTTGGGCAGAAGAGGGAGAGCGGTCATAAAGGAGCAAGAGGAAATAATTCCCAGTTTTAGATTACCGTTCTTTTTTTTTTTTTTAAGAGACATGGTCTCACTATGAGGCTCAAACTCATGGGCTCAAGCAATCCCCCTGCCTTAGCTAGATTACCATCCTTAAAAATCTGCTACGTTAATGTGGAGAAAAACTTTTCAACTTTTAAAGCCATTCATGATTAATATAGCATGTACTAAATTGTGAATAATGAACTTTCACTTAAACCCTGCCTGGTAACAACAGCTAATGCTTTTTGAGCATTTACTCAGTCATTTGTTTCAAAAGTTGTCTGTATGAGCCGGGCTCAGTGACTCAGCCTGTAATTCCGTGCCTTGGGAGGCTGAGGTGAGTGGATTGCCTGAGCCCTCGGGTTCGAGACCCGCCTGGGCAACTTGGTGAGACCTCATC